TTGCCACCACCTTCAAGACCCACCTCTTACCTTCCACCCCCCTGATCCCAATCACCAGCTTCGATCTCCCTGCTTCCCCCCTTCCCCACCCCGACCCTCAGCTCGGGTCTGTAACTCTGTCTGTCCAGCGCCTTGGGACGTCCTCCCGACATGAAAGGCGCTTTACAAATGTAATTTTGTTGTTGTTGTTTTGATCTGGCCAACGCACCGAAGTGACCTTTCTTTCTTGGAAGGTCACTGCACTCTACAGTAAATCCTATCAATATCTCTGGGAGGCTTTGACTATGGATTTTGTAGGTGAACCCAGCAGCCAATTTGCGTGAGGCAATGCCCCACAAGAGCCATGAAGTGAATGACTGATTTTACGTTGTTGGCTGGGACACAAAGAGAAACTCTCTTTGATTTTCAGATATTGTAGTGCCATGTGACCTATAAACAACCACCTGAACAGGCAGTTGGGATCACAGTTTTAACATTGCTCGTTAGTTAAAGGACGACACCTCCATCAATGCAGTGCTCACCCCCAGCACTGCGCTGGAGTCAGCAGAAACTATACGAGTTCAAAGGCTGGATGTGGGGATTGAACCCACAGCAACAATTTACATTTGTTGAGCGCCTCTCACGTCAGGAGGACATCCCAAGGCGCTGGACAGTCAGGGATCCGCACCCGAGCTGGTGATTGGGATCGAGGAGTGGAAGGTAAGAAGGTGACCAAAGGCACGATCGAAGAGGAGGGTCTTGAGATGGGTCTTGAAGGAGGCGAGGGAGGGGGCCGAGCTGGAGGGACTGAGGGATGGAGTTCCATAGAGTGGGGGCAGAGAGCCTGTCTGCCAATGGTGGGGTGGGTGAGGCGGGGGATGTGAAGCAGGCTGGAGTCCGCTGAGCGGAGGGAGAGGACGGTTAGGGGTAGGGGTGAGGAGCTCACAGAGGTAGGGAAAAGCGAAGCTGTGGAGGGCTTTGAAGGTGAGGACCAGGATCTTAAACTGTATCCTCTTCTGACTCAGAGGTGAGAGTGCTGCCGACTGAGCCAAGCTGACACACAGACTAAGACATCCAAAGGCACCCCATCAGTCTCCGGCACCACGTTCCCAATGACCTCCACTGCTACTCTACACAAGGGCAATTTCTGTTAAAAATCAACAACTCTTATGGAGTTCCTGATGATTGATTGGACATCCACATACCCGGAACTTCTGGTGCCTTGCATTTCTGTGTTTCTCGACCATGGAATGTTAATAGTCCTCTCTTGTGCAGGCACCAGATGGTAGTACACTGTGCACTGTGAGCAACGAACACACCGTCCCACAAAATAGCCCCAGAATCTTTCCATCGAGAATTCCAAACGCATAATCGTAATGACTTTTCATATGGCTGCTGAGGTATTTTAAGGCTAAGGGAACTTGTTTTTAATAGCGAGGTCTTGATTTTCAGCTCCCTCGGCACCAAGGTAGTCTTTTAACGTTTCCCCCCTGGCACAGCCAGACTGCTCTGCCTCAAAATGTGAATACTGAACATTCATTGACACGTATCGATGTGTAAAAGTTTTTGTGAAACCGCAGCAATTTGCTTCTTGCTCAAAAGTGCGAAATGTTGACTGACGGCATCCCTGAGGGCAGACGACTTTTAATGTTGTTATTTTTAGAGCAAGACACGGTTAAAACGTTGACTGTGAGTCATACAGGCTAAAGGCAAGGCTCAATTCCCAGTTTGTGCTGAGTTACACAAGCTCCTCTGGCAGGGCTGGTGCTCTGTGTTGCAGGTTGACCTCAGTCAATGGTCCTGGGCCAGATACTGGTATATTCAGCTGCAAGATATATAGTCAATTCGCCCACAAAATATACAATCAATTCACTTTACAGCATATTCTGTGAAGTGCTTTGAGACGTCTCAAAGATGTAATAAGGCGCTATCTCAAATGCAAAGATTATTATTATATTATAAGATTACAAGGAGCTGCGTTTGTGTCACTGTCCAATGGATGTTAAATCAAGGTCCTGTCTACCTGTTCAGGTGGACATGAAAGACGCTGGGACACTATTCGAAAAGAACCAGTAGCTTCTTATGGTGTCCTGGCCTCAAGGATCTTCTTTATTTACCCGTCCTGAATTTATCCTCGTTAGAAAAAGAAGATTGAAAGAGAAATGGGGCATAATTCTAAGACCCATGACGGTATCTGAAAAGAGAAAGGAATTTCTCCAGGAAATGCCCCAGAAGGAATTTCTCCCGCCCAACGGACTAAAATTGCTCATTCGCTTTGTGGCTGTTTTGTAAGATGTGGCCGTGGCACATTGTCTGCTGTGTTCATCTACAAAATACGCAATCAAAATTTCTTAAGAGATATTCACGGTCAGAGAGGACGGGGGTGGGGGGGGGGGGGTGCTGCATACTTTGGGTTTCCTTGACAACAAGAGTACTCCAGATCATCTCACTCTTCTTTGTCGCAGGGTAAATAAGGACTCACGCCATTCTGATCGAGCTCAGTAACGTTGGGAAGACGGCCAGAATCATTTGCAATACCAGACACAGGAACATGCAGGAGGCACATTCTTTCCAAAGAATTATCTGCTGCCTGAAAGGAAACTGGCAACTTTCTGCAGAATATTTCTCCCCCGACACATCACCCCCATCCCCCCCACACCACCCACCCACCCACCCCAAACCCCCACCACCACCAGCATAATATATTAAAAGGTCATACGGCTGCAGGTTTTTTTCTGGCATTTATTGCCAGAACAAAAAAAATCACAATTACTAAACAGCTAAGTACGACAAGATAATTGCTAAGCTTCCCTGCCATGTTGTGACACATGCATGTGCAAGCAATCAGCCGTTGAGTAAGACAAGCTGTCTCTCTGGCTTGTTAATTCTCCCCCATTTTGTAGGTGCCTCACGCTCCTTTACCTGTCAGCCTGGCTTCGGTTGCCAGCACTCTCGTCTCTGAGTGAGGAAAGCTGATGCTTCAGGGCTGGGGGAGCGGACGTAATGGCTGTCAGTCCTTTGGACGTGATGTTAAACTGAGCTCTCGTCTGTCTGTGGTCTGATCTGTGACAAATCTCCCTCCCGTGACACAATCCGATAAGGGAAGGCAGTTAGTTCTCTCTCCCGGTGCCCTGTCCGGGAATCGAAGAATCTTACAGCACAAAAGGAGGCCATTCGGCCCATTGTGCCTGTGACAGCTCTTTGAAAGAGCTATCCAATTAGTCCCAGTTCCCCCCACTCTTTCCCCATAGCTTTGCAAAAATTTCCTTTTCAAGTATATATATCCAATTCCCTTTTTGAACAGAGAGATAACCTTGGTTTTCTGGAGAGTTACAGATGTGTTCACCTGGCTTGCTCCCGATCTGCCCTGCCTCTGAGAATGCTCTAAAAGACACAGCGTCTTAACGCTCGTCTCAAAGCGCTTCACAGGATATAGCGTAAAGTGTAGTGACACTGTTTTTTTGTGGACGAATGGGTGTGAATCGTAATTGTGCTTTACCATCTCGAAATATTTCACAGGCAATTGCCGTAAAGCGTGGTGACTGGGACACTTTTATAGCCAAAGGCACTGCGGAGGCAAGATCTCAGCTGGGGTCAATTATTTAACTGGACAAGAGACCTCTCGTTTGCCTCAGGGCCTTTGAGTTGTAAGATGGGGGAGCGGTTTCCCAGAGTGACAAGGATCTGCCTCTTACATTCAACCTGTCACTCCTGTCCGGGCACAGTTTCCGTCTCCGTTTAAAAAAAAAAGACAAATCTCTGCCTGTGCGTGTGATCAGCGAGACCCACCCACCTACCCAACCCCATTGTCCTTGACGTCTCTGTTTGCGTGGGGGTTTTTTTTTAACCCGTTAAGTTGCCATTCCGCCAGACAGACAGACAGACAGACAGACAGAGAGAGAGAGACTCGTCTCGGAGACGCTTCTTCTCCATCGGGAGCGGCAAACCTTCCTTCTAAACTGACGGGCGTAAACGTCCTGTAGCTCAGTGGTTAGAGCACTCGCTTTGCAAGTGAGAGACCTGAGTTCAATTCCAGGCAGAGGGCGAAACCTTGGGCAAGTTTCCTCACTCCACACAGAGCCCTAATAATAATCCCTCCAAAACCCAAAACAATAATAAATTGGTCATTTTCAATCTACGACTGTTTGTGGGACATTGCTGTGCACAATTGGCTGCCGCGTTCGCCCACAAATATACAGTCAATTCACTTTACAGTTATTCTGTGAAGCGCTTTGGGAGTCCTCCCGACGTGAAAAGCGCTATATCAAATGCAAGGATTATTATTATTATTATTATTATTTTTTTATCCGTCTGATTAATGTCAAGTCTGACCGTCATCTCGGGGCCGGGGGGAGAGAGAGAGAGAGAGAGAACCGGGAGGTCTCTCAGCTGCAAAGGAACCGCAGTTCCGCGTGCGAGCGCTCAACGGAGAGGGAGGGAGAGAGAGAATGAAAAGAGAGAGAGAATGAGAAGAGAGAGTTCATTTAAAAGCCGAGAGGGTTTTTTTATAAATAAATCTCTGAAACAGTACAGTTCAAAGTGGCAAACGTTCCTGACCCTAAAGGGTCACCGGTAACATGAGGGCTCTGGTGAGGGGATACGACTGAGGGGGGGAGGGGAGGGGGGAGAGGAGAGAGAGAGAGAGAGAGCGAAGGTGGAAAGAGGAGAGACGGAAGGAAGGAAGGAAGGAAGGAAGGGAGAGAGAGAAGAGGAAAAGAGAAGGAAAAGGGGGAATGACAGTGGAGGAAAGAGAGAAAGAAGAAAAGGGGACACAGAGAGAGAAAGAAGGAAGGAAGGAAAAGGGGGAAAGGGAGAGAGGAAAGGCAAGAGGGGAGAGAGAGAGAGAGAGAGAGGGGGGAAGAGAAGGAAGGAAAAGTAAAAAGGAGGGAGAGAGGAGGAGGAGGGAGAAGAGGGGAATGAATGAATGAAGAGAGAGGACCAGGAGGGGGCGTGGTCGAGGGCGGGGCTGGAGGCGGGGCCGAGGAGGGGGCGTGGTCGAAGGAGGGAGGGGGCGGGGCCGGATGTTGTCGGAGGGGGCGGAGCCTGAGCTGATGGAGAAATACCAGATGGTCAAAGTGGTCGGGCGCGGGGCCTTCGGGTGAGAGACCCCACACCCCCCCCACCCCACACACCACAACCCCCCCCCCCCACTCCCCCCCACCACACCCCCCACACACTCCCCCCACACACACACCCACACACACCCCCCCCACCACACACACCCCCCACACACCCCCACCCCCCCACCACACACACCCCAACACAACCCCCCCACACACTCCCTCCCACACACACCCCCCCACACCGCCCCCACCACACACCCCCACCACACACCCCCCACACACACACTCCCCCCACACCCCACCACACCCACCACACACAACCCCCCCACCACCACACCCCCCACACACACCACACACACACACCCTCCCCCACCACACACACACACACCACCCCCCCACACACACACCACACACACACTCCCCCCACACCCCCCCACACACACCCACACACACCCCCCCACACACACACCCCACCACACACACCCCCCACACACCCCCCCCACCACCCACACCCCCACACACCCCCCACACACCCCCCACCACCACACCCCCCCCCACACACACACCCACCACACACCCCCCCCACCACACCCACACACACCGCCCACCACACACACACCCCCACCACACACCCACCACCCCACCACACACTCCCCCCCCACCACACCCCCCCACCACACACCCCCCCCACCACACCCCCCCACACACACCCCCCCACACACCCCCCCCACCACACCCCCCCACCACACCCACCACACACACCCCCCCCCCACACACACCCCCCCCACCACACCCACCACACCCACCCCCCCCCCACACACACCCCCCCCACACACCCCCCCCCACACACACACACCCACACACACCCCCCCCACACACACACCCCCACCATACACACAACCCCCCCTTAAAGACAACCCAGCCCCACCCTTAGAGACCATCCCCCTCCTCCCCACTTAGAGACCCCCTCTCCCCCCACATACACCCTCCCCAGAACCACATTTATTCCCCCACCCCATACAGAAACCACCCCCCCCTCCCTTCTCATACACAAACAAACAAATATACCCCACCCCCCCACCACAAACACATACCCTCTCCCTTAGAGACCCCACCCCCCCTCCTCCACACCCTCGCCCCCCCACCCCCAAAGCACACAGACACTGAACTCCAGCCGCTTCCAACCACATACATCCCTGTCAACCTGTCTGATCCAAACCCTGGGGGCTGGGGGAGGGTCTGTGATCTGGGGGGTGGGTGGAGGGGCTGTAAAATACAGTGACTGTGTGTCGTGTGGGCGAACATATCCTCTCGCCATCGAACAAATGGGAGAATAACTCGCTCTGCCCCAGGAAAGCGGAAAGTCATCTCACGTGACCTCAGCAATTGATTGATTCCCGTGCCTGTTAGGGCTTAGGGCTAACGGGAAGTTGAGTGGCGGGGATGGGGAGTGGGGGGTTTGGGGAGGTGGGGGGGAATAATTGAACCACGAAGCACTGAACCACATTCCCCGTTTCTCTCTCTCCGAGCAGCATCGTCCATTTGTGTCTGCGCAGGAGCGACCAGAAGCTGGTGATCCTGAAGCAGATCCCGGTGGAGCAGATGACCAAGGACGAGAGACTGGCTGCTCAGAACGAATGCCAGGTCCTCAAACTCCTCAACCACCCCAACATCATAGAATACTACGAGAACTTCCTGGAGGACAAGGCACTCATGATAGCCATGGAATACGCCCCAGGTAGGGAGACCGTACGTCTGATTGGGACGCTGAAATTGAAGGGTATCTCAAAGGAACATTGAAGGTGTTATCTGTGCGACCTCCTGCCATCCTGTACCCTCTGTTCTGCCAGTACTGGGATGCTTAATGTACTCCGCCCTTTGAAAATTTCTCCCGAAATTCCTCTGCCTCGTTTTCCCCTCCCCTTTCCATTCCTCCCCACCCCCCCCCACCCCAATTTCTCCAGCAGGGCCTTCCACTTCATCTCAGTGCTTACGGTTACCGCTCCCTCTCCCCCCCCCCCCCACTCCGGCCATTCTGTTGTACAAGTGTTTTCCGGTCTACCTTTCGCTTTCAGGTGGTACTTTGGCTGAGTACATCCAGAAGCGTAACTCGCTGCTGGACGAGGACACCATCATGCACTTCTTCGCCCAGATCCTTTTGGCCCTTCACCACGTGCACAACAAGCTGATCCTGCACCGGGATCTGAAGACCCAGAACATCCTGCTCGACAAACACCAAATGATCGTGAAAATCGGGGACTTTGGCATCTCCAAGATCCTAAGTAGCAAAAGCAAAGCCTACACGGTAAGCTCACCTCAACCTCCCCCTCCTTCTGGTCTTCAACCTTCATTGGATATTTGATCACAGCTACAAATTTCTGACAATAACCATCTCAATCCACGACTGTTTGTGGGACGCTGCTGTCCGCAATCGTCTGCCGCGTTTCACCCACAAAATACACGCTCAATCCACTTGACACTGTATTCTGTGAAGTGCTTTGAGACGTCTCAACGACCTGAAAAGCGCCTCATCAAATAATATTATTGTTGTTATTACGTTGCCTTGAAACAGCGCTCCATTCATGCAGGATAATGTCTCTGCGTGCTTCATGGTGGGAGGGTCGGATGCAAAGCCAGGGAGACGAAGGGGGCGGTTGGGGGTGCTGACCATAGGCACAGGCGAGAGTTAGGTTTTAAAGTGGGATTTAAGTTGGATAGAGAGGGAGGGTGAGGAAGAGAGTTCCAGAGGTTAGGTGCAAGTGCTCCTGGACCCTACCCTGTGTGAAGGGCGCTATGTAAATGCAAGCAGTCGTGTCTTCCCAATCCCGTTTTTCCAGGGTTAAATGTCCCTGTGTTCATAGATGTTTTGGAATTAAAAAGCAAGTCAGAACTTGGGGAATAACGCCCGTGATTATAAATAACAGTCCTTGTTGCATTTGGTAGAGTGTCTTCCCGGTCAGGAGGATGCCTCTGAGGGCTTCACAGGATTTACTGCAAAGTGCAGTGTCTTGTGTGTTTATGGAGGCAAACATGTCGAAGCGACCTGGCAACATTGCCTGTTCTCCGCTCAAAAACTTGTACTGAATTACTTGCAAGAGGCACTTAACCAGCTGCCAGCAGAGTGCTTCCATTTCCAGTGTCAAATGGACTCAAAAGTTACAGTTAATAACCATACCATTTTTTAAGGCTAGTAATAATTAACGAATAATCTGTAACTTAGTTGTTGTTGTGCTATCTATTACACAGAAGCTGCTCGTGGGAAATATGTAATAATCTTTGCATTTGAGAGAGCGCCTTATCGCGTCTTCGAGACGTCTCAAAGCACTTCATGGGATATCCCGATTTTTTCCAGTATACAGGATATACTGCAAAGTGGATTGACTGTGTATTTTGATGGCAAAACCCGGAAGCCAGTTTGAGCACAGCAATGTCAAACAGACAGCCCCAGAGTGAGGGACCATTTTTCATTTGGGGGATTTGTTGGGCAGGACACCGGGAGACACTCCCTTCTCTTTTCAAATAGTGCCACTGCATTTTTAATGTCCACCTGAACAGCCAAACATGACCTTGGTTTAACTTCTCATCTGAAGGACGGCACCTCAGTCAATGCAACACACCCAAGCACTGCATTGGAACTTATGGATCGCATTGGCTCGTATGATTATAACCAATTCTCCACCACATATCTGACCATGTGGTTCCACTGCTGTGTCTAGTCCTCCTGCCTTGGGAGGAGCCTTTTGGTGAGGGGAGAGTGCAGTTGTTCTGATCTGTTTTGCCCTGTTTGTCCATCTTCCTGCTGTCTGTGTAGCTCACGAGCTGTGCACTTCTTTTGCCTTTGTAGGTGGTTGGCACTCCGTGTTACATCTCTCCGGAGCTGTGTGAAGGCAAGCCGTACAACCAGAAGAGTGACATCTGGGCACTGGGCTGTGTTTTATATGAGCTGGCCAGCCTGAAGAGAGCATTTGAAGCTGCTGTAAGAGACTGAAGCTAATAGGTCTGAAGGTCTGGTAGGGATTGGGTGGGGTGGGGGCGCGGTAGGGAGTGGGTGGGGTTAGGAGGGAAGGGCAGGTGGGAGAGAGGACGAAGGGCGGGTCGTGGAGGGAATTTATGCCTTCACTCAAAAGCCCCAAAGTATATCATAATAATAATAATAATTGTTGCATTTGATTCAGCGCCTCATTACTGCATCAAATAGTGCCATGGGATGTTTAACATCCACCTGAACAAGCAGACAGGACCTCGGTTTAATGTCTCATTCAAAGGATGGATAAGCACATGTGTTGTGTAGCTTCACTTTGTCTTATAATAGCGAATCTCTGCAGAGCCTGAGCCCGAGAAAAGATCTTTGTTCTCCTTTGAGACAATTGTAGAATCCACCAGGAGATGAAATTGCAGCTTCCCCGAATTGGAATGGTTATATTTCAGATTTCACAATTAAAAACTGTTGTCTAATCAGCATTTAAGCACATTATAATGCATGCTCTGTGCTTTAGAGATCTAGGTCAGTGATTTCTGTGCTGATGCGATGTATTATCCTGATTCTGTGATTCCAGAATATTGCATTTCAAAGACAATCTCTTCCTCTGATGGTTATTTTTACAGGCTACTAATTGCACAAAGCTTTGATTCTTTGCCTCTAGCTTGTATCTCCATGACTGACAGTAACTGAAGATGAAGAGCAGAGATCAGCATTATTTATTGAGGACACTGGCTCTGAGGGTTTATCCAACCCTCAGCTGAGCCATGGAGACAGGGAAAGTGCTAGGTTCAAGCTCTAGGCACAAGATTGGTTTGGACGAAGAATGTTCTTCAACCCATTCGCATACCTGACCCACCATCCTCCTGTAACAGCATCAAACTGTTTTGAAACAAATCCAGCATCAACCACCCATCCTGCCAACCTCTTCCAGTCGTCAATTACCCTCTGGGTAAAAAAATCCCCTCCTTGTGTCTGTCCTGAAATTACCCTTTGCAACCCCAAACCTGTGTCTTATTTGTTCTGCCTTTTTGGTGCGTCCGAAACAAAAATTTCTGGGCTAAATTTGCTGAATCCCATTTGAGATCTTTTACACCAATGTAAGGTGTGCTCTGTGTGGGCGAAAGTAGCAGATCTCATCCAGGATGGCCTCCAGGTCAGGGAGGGAGATATTGACAAGGACTATGCTCCTGGTTGCCATGTAGTGTGGATGTTGGATGAGGGCTGGAATCACGTTTGCTGCAAGTCCCTGCAGTTGAATGATCTGCCAAGTGCCACCACTCGAAGCGCTTCACAGGATTTTACTGCAAAATGTAGTGACTGCGTATTCTGTAGGCCAACTCTGCAGCCAATTCCACGCCCAGCAAAATGTCCCACAGACGGCCACAAAGCAAATCAAAGGAATTACTGAATGGAATTGGGAGTGGAAATAAAATAAGACTTAAATGCAGAATTTTGCTTTTAAATACAAATCCGTGAATTTCAAAAGCTTTAAGGTGTCTTGTGCTGTTTTAGTGAACTAAGCGGAGTGGCTGTGCTCAAATTAAGTTCAAAATATCCAGCACACATCATTCCTTTTCAGTGTGCGAGGAAATGGAAAATTGCTTAAATAGCTGATAATGGCATACAATTTTTTTTCCCCCCAAGTTATCAGGCTTTGACCGAAGCGTTTTATCTTACAGCCACTGCGGAAATTTCCTCGCTCGTGTTTAAAAAAAAAAGCAAAAAAAATTAATATCAAAAAGTTTAAATTATTCACAGTCTTCTGTCATGCTAAACAGTACCAGTAATGCTGTTAATGTGTGGACTTTAAGGGAAGGAAATCAATTGAATTCTGGAAGTATTCCAGTCGCTTTTATTTTCAGATAATTATTCATATAATAACACGCAAATCATAATTTCAGGGGAATTTTATGGGGGGGATCTAAAAATGATTTGACTCGCTTTTGACGTAGTAGCACCTTGCACGTTAGGAGGACGTCTGGAAGAGCTTCTCAGGATATACCCGGGAGGTGCAGTGACTCCATTTTGAAGGTGAACGGTGGTGTATTGAGAGAGAGAGAGAGAGAAACGTAAAATTTTTTGATAGGTCTTAAAAGTTAGTACCGGTCCAAGTTGGCAGCGAAATGATACACATCATCTCAGAGTTGAGAATAATTGAGGCCGTTGTAAACGTAACAGCAAAGCTAATGGAAGGGCAGTGTGACCCTGTACCTGTACAGATCGATGTTTTTCTGAAGGAAGTCGTTTGGGAGTTAGAAGAAAATGCTGGCGCTAAAATTGGTATGTCGTTTTTTTTCCCCCAAGAAACAAAACGCTAATTTGTTTTATTCTTTCATTTTCTCTCTCTTTCTTCCCCCCCCCCCCACCCGCCAACCCCCTCTCTGTCCTCTCCGACCACCCAGAACCTCCCAGCACTGGTGCTGAAGATAATGAGCGGTACTTTCGCCCCGATATCTGACCAGTACAGTCCTGAGCTGCGGCAGCTCATTCTGAGCATGTTGAGCCTGGACCCTTCAAAACGCCCCCAGTTAAATGAGATCATGGCTCAGCCTATCTGCATCAGGGCCCTGATGAACCTATACACGGATATTGGCAGCGTCAAAATGAGGAGGTAAGCGGCTGAGACCGATCGATAAATTTTCGTCCACCCTTTTCCCCTTTCCTCCTCGCATTCTGTAGTCATTTTTCCCTGCAAAATATATGGTCAATTCACTTGACAGTGTATTCTGCGAAGCGCTTTGAGTGCATCTCGAAGACGTGATAAGGCGCTGTATCAAATGCGAGGATTATTTAGATTTTTATTATAATGGTAATAACAACAACAATAAATAATAATTTGGTCACTCAATCCACGACTTTGACCCCCGTTTCCCTCTATTGATCTTTGCGGTTCACCAAGTGGGCAGGCTTCGATGCTTTGCCCACGTGGCTGTTATTCAGGGCTGACCCTCGACGGGGAGTAAAAGGGCAAGGGCTGATTTGAGTGCGTTTGATTCTTGTGTCACGTGAGAATACGGCACGGCCCCAGCGGGAGTTTTAAATGCAGCTTTGCCAGGAGGAAATCCGATTTTTTTTTTAAAAAAAAGGAGTACGTTTATTAAAGGAGACTGAGCGACCCGCTGGGAATTCAAAGCAGACTTCGATTTATTCTTTGACAGAATCGAAAAGCCATTAGCAACAGTAGCATCTGCTTCGCACAGACAGACTGGTGACAGGGTCAGCACTGCCAGGTCAAGAGGTAAGTGGAAAAGCTGCAGCGAGAGGGAATAGGGGTCATAGCGATGCTAAGCGGGCAAAACGGACATCTTTATAAAGGCAGTCGATACTGTGGTCCTCTTTATATTACAATCCTGTGCTCGCGCAGCCACTGTTCTACCAATAACAACAACTTGCATTTATATAGCGCCCTTCACATGAGGTAGCGTCCCGGAGCGCTTGACAGTGGCTGAGGCTGACCCTGAGCCGGGGGGGTAGGAGTGGCGAGAGGGGTGAGTGACCGTACCAAAAAGGAAGGTCTTTATGCGGGATTTGAAAGTGGGGATGGAGGGGGCATGGCGGAGGGATTGAGGGAGAGAGTTCCAAAGATTCGGGGCGTAGTGGCTGAAGGCACAGCCACCATTCTCCCGCAGCCCACAATTCCCTTAAGGTGCAGAGTTGACCCATGGATTGTACTCGCCACTGTCTTGCTCTGTGTTAAGCGTACTTTCTGTTAAACCAGTCGGGAGGGGTGGATGGGCTGTGATACTTATCCTTTTCCTAACGTGTGTTCCAGTTGAGATCTGGTCCGGCTGTTTCTCTTTGACCGTGCCTTCAGCTCCCCTCTCGACTCTCTACCCCCTCTTCGCTCCCTCCCTTCCCTCCCCCTGACCATTTCACCCCTGCACGGGTCCTGACCCAACTGTACAGCCCCTTGGGACGTCCTCCCGACGTGAAAGGCGCTCTATAAATGGAATCTTGTTGATGTTGTTCTAATCCAGTCAGACCCTGTTGTAACTCCTTGGTTCGGGTCCACGTAAGACTTCCGGCACGTAACGACCGCGCTATTTAAGTGGCCTGTGCGACGGGCTCTATATAAATACAAGTTGTTGTTATTGGCAGACTTCCGGGTCATTTTCGTAGCCAAAAGCGTCACTTAAAAATCCCCGGGTAATAAAAGATTAAAAAAAAATCAATACAATCATCAAAAAAATCATATCAATAAAAATAAAAGCCCCTACGTATAAGATGGTCTGAGAAATCCCAGCTTGGTTTTGTGCAGGATTTAAGCCATCTGACCCAGTTAGTTAGCAGTCGTCATCCATGGAACATATTTATCCGCGGACTGATGGAGCTGCTTGTGCGTACATGCTACAGTATTGGTAACTCTTGGATTTCAATAAGATTCAAACCTTTTCCAGGCGGCTTCCACGCCAACTCGAGTCTGGCTAAGGCCGGAATCCCTCCCCCGCTCTCCATTGTGTACACCTGGGGAGGGGGAATCCTCTCGCCCCTCAGACTCCCAATGCTCAACACTGAGGTGATGCAAGTCTCTGCTGGGCGAACCCAGAAAGCAGGGGTGACCAGGTCCGGGCGACTTATCATGTGGGAGGTAAGTCACGGAGCGTTGGCTGACTGACGTCTGCTCTCCCCCCCCCCACTCACCTCTTCCCCCTCACCCCCCCCTCCCACCCCTGATAAAATTGCTCACTCACTTCATGGCTGTTTGTGGGATGATGCCGTGTACAGATTAGCTGCCACACTCGAACTGCCTGAATGAAATGATCTCTACACTATTGTAATTACTGTAAAGCGCTTTGAGACATTTCACCGTGGTAATGCGCTGTAAAAATGTAAGTAGCTCTTCCTGATGGTTTTCACTCGAGACAAGTGTGAAACTGGAGAAGACCAGCATGAAATTGTTCATTTGCAACAGAAGCCATAACACAGAGTCTTTAAAGTGCCTATTGAATACTATTCATTTCACAGTATTTTACATTGAATTACAAGCCCATTTGGCTCAATAAATGTGTTTATACACAATGTGAGCCTCCAGCCCTCCTAATCACCTATGCCCTTTTCTCGTGTGTGTATTAGATTTCCTCTTAAATACATCAGTGCTTTCTGCTTTAACCACGACTTAAGCGCTCCTGGATGCCACCCCAAGTGAAGGGGGCTAGCTTTATAAATGCAAGGTGTTGTTGCTCCTTTTAATTTCTTTAGAACATTCGTGTTACCTTGTCCTCTCGACATGAAAAGGCGCTGTACAAATGCAATTTGTTGTCCTCTAAGCATTCAGGAGCTATCCGGTTACCATGAGATTTATGCACTGTAAAAAGGCACGGTCACTGCACTTGACGGCCATTGACTGGGAAACGCTTCCTGAGATGTTTCAAGGTCGAAGGCACTATAATCACGCACAAGGAATATTATTTAAAAAGGCGGAATCACAAACGTTACCGCGGTCTTCTGTTTAAGGCTGCTCCGATGGGTGCAAACTCCTCACTTCCGGGTTCCACGGAGCAGATTCAGCCGCAGTTTATCTCCAGGTTCCTGGAGGGTCAGTCGGGAGTGGCGATCAAGCATGTTTCATGCGGAGATCTTTTCACAGCTTGTCTCACAGGTAAGGTTAAACGGGACCTATTCTTCAAGGCACGTCTCAAGACCTTCGTCTTCGACCGTGCTTTCAGCCACCCTCCTACCCTCCCTGCCCTCTACCCTCCCTTGTCCCAATCTGCCCCCCGCTCGGGTCCAAATCCCTGACAGTCCAGTGCCTTGGGACATCCTCCTGACGTGAAAGGCGCTTTATAAATATAATTGTATTTTGTATTGTATTGGCTATATTGAACGAGATGCGTGCAGTATTATAAGTATTGTATGTGTGCAGTAGTACAGTGGAGTCCTGTAGCTCAGTGGTTAGAGCGCTCGCTTTGCAAGTGAGAGACCTGAGTTCAATTCCAGGCAGAGGGCGAAACCTTGGGCAAGTTTCCTTACTCCACACAGAGCCTAATAATAATCCCTCCAAAACAAAAAAAATAATAAATTGGTCATTTTCAATCTATGACTGTTTGTGGGACATTGCTGTGCGCAATTGGCTGCTGAGTTCACCCACAAATATACAGTCAATTCACTTTACAGTATATTCTGTGAAGCGCTTTGAGACGTCTAGAAGACGTGAAAAGCGCTATATCAAATGCAAGGATTATTATTATTATTAATAACAGTTAGAATAATCCCCCTTGATATAAAAGGCTCTGTATCAAATGCAAGGACTATTATTGTCCTGTCCAATAATTATTGACTTTGCTATATGCAGCTGGGCTGCTGCGATTGTCTACAAACCTACAGCCACTACACTTTCCAGTAAATCCTGTGAAGCGCTTTGGGACGTCCTCCCGACGTGAAAGGCGACGTACCGAATGCAAGGATTATTCTGCTGCTTCTTGTTAATGCTATCTCTTTTCGTATCCCCGTAGACGGGATTGAACGGCAGAGCGAAAATGTCACTTTTAGAGGAAATTGGACAAAGTGGCTATAATGAAATATGTGAAAAAGCGATTAAGGTTAACATCCTTTCCGATGTTATATTCTCTCTCTCTCTCTCTCTCTCTCTCCATTATATTCACCGTTTGTGTTTCAGACAGGGGCATAATAATGACCTTTGGCAGTGGGAGTAATGGATGTCTGGGTCATGGCACTTTCAACGATGTCACCCAGGTAGGTGGACCAGGTTGTCTTATCAAACCTCTTTTCAGAAACGCTTCTAGTTTTAACTTGTTCATGACATTCAACTTCAACTCTCTTGCTTCGACTGTAGCATTTCAAACGACAGGTTTCTAAGGAGGTTGGGAACCCTCCTCGTGCGAATGTGAACTGCGACTGGATAAATTAAAGGCAAACCAAATTGTTTCAAGCACAGCGTTGGGCCGTAGTGCTGACTGAGCTGTACGTGGTGCCACGATTACATGTCCTAATCTGTTCCACTTTAAGAGATTACGGACAAGCAGGCCACAATAGTCGGCTCCTGTGGTGGAGCTAGCGCCTTGCGCCAGGTTTTCTCCTCCTGCGCTGGACCGTTTATTGACCCTTTCTTGTCCAAGGGTAGGAGACGTTTGAGAGTTGACACAGCCTGTTTTTTGCCCTCTGTCCCTCTTCTGTTGTGAAGTGCCTGACCTCTTCATTAGGCTTTCACTGACACCTGGACTGGGTTTGTCCCTATGTCGCCTGCACTGGGCTGCCTCTAAAAATCCTGCTGTGAACAGCATGGCGGCGACTGCTGTACCTCTAGGCACTCCGAGGACAAAAAAGCCAAAGATATGTTTTTGTTCCCGTGAAAGTAAATGGTTTGGTTTAAAATCGTTTAAGGGCCTGAGCATGTGCATTGCTATTGCATTCTGTCTGACTGACTGACTGTTTCTTCGTCAACTCCAGCCCAAGATTGTGGAGGCCTTGCTGGGTTATGAGATTGCTCAGGTGTCGTGTGGGGCATCCCACGTTCTAGCAGTGACCAATGACCGAGAGGTGTTCTCATGGGGAAGAGGAGACAACGGTAAGAAACCCCTTTAATCCTGAAACTATGTTCGGTGTCATTACAATCACCGTTTAATATGCGATGCATCAGCCTGGCTTGGGTGGTAGCATGCTCGCCTCTGGGTCAGAAGTTTGTGGGTTCAAGCCCCACGTCGGGGACATTGAGCTCATAGTCCGAGTCGACGTTCTAATGCAATGATGGGGGAGCTCTGCACTGTCAGGAGTGATGTCCTTTGGTCCCCTGTGCCTGTTAAGATGAGGGTTAAAGATCTCATGACACTTTTTGAAAAGAGAAGGGAGTTTCTCTCGTGGTGTCCTGGCCAACAATCCTCCAGATCTAAAATTGGTCATTCGCTCCTCGGCCGCTTGTGGGGCGATGCCTTGTGCAAATTGGCTGGCGAGTTCGCCTACAAAGTACCCAAGTCACGGCACTTAAAGATAACTGTAAAGTGCTTTGAGACATTTCGATGTTATAGGCGTGAGTTACTAATTTATTTATAGTATTCAGTCATTTTCTCTGGGAGAGCCAAGATCAGTTTTCAGACCGCAAATTTGCCCTTAATGAAATCCAGTTCCCAACAGGGTTTAAGGTAAAGCTATCCCAGAGGGTATATCTCGCTGCATGCATTCTGACATGCTCCTGCAGTCATTGTTCAGCTCTGTTACATTGGGCTGGAGCCAGGAAACCCTTATGGCAATGGTCTACAGCAAACCAGGGCTGCACATGGAACCCAGCTCATTAGAGAGGAGGGAAAGGAAGGGAAGGCGGCTTGGAGCTCAGCAATATTTGATTGCATAGTGTTGATTTCCAGCAACTAAGCTGTAGCTGTTATATCAACCTGAACCACTCTTCCTGTGCTGGCAGCCTGGCTCAGTTGATAACACTCTCGCCACCGAGTCAGGTGGTTCGAACTCCACCTCTGGACTTTTGACTCGCAGTCTAGGCTGACACTCCATCGCTGCGCGGCTGGGGAAGCACTGCATTGTCGGAGGTGCCGCCTTTCGGATGAGAGACATTAAAACGAGGTCCCGTCTGCCTGTTCAGCTGGGCGTTAGAGTTCCCGTGGCGCTACTCTGAAAAAAGAGAAGGGAGTTTCTCCTGATGTCCTGGGGTGCAGTGGGCTTAGTGGATAATGATCGGAAGTTGAAACCCAAGCTGTGTGTGTTTTGTCGGTAGTGGGTGGGGAGAGGGGTGGTGTGGTCATGCCTATTCCCTCACCTGGGGTACGAGGAGCCAGCTGTACAGCATTCCTTCCCTCTTTCACCCGCCTTCCCCCCCCCCCGCCGATCAGGCACGGATGGAGATCGAACCTGGGAGGCATCGTAGTCTGCAAAGTGGCTCATTTTCACACTTAATAGCCATCAGGGGAGCCCGAAACGTCTTGTAAAAGAGTTTTGGCTGCAAGCAAAGCCAGCGTTTTTAGCTTGTAGCCAGTCACCTCGGTGAGGGGAACATTTAAAACCTAACAATGCAATATTTTACCGAGGGGGGGGGGGGAAACACTAATATAAAATGACACGCCATTATACTGAGCGAGTATTCGGGCCATAAACTAGCTGCTGTCACACAAAGTGGTGCTCTTAAAAATAAAGCCCAAGTGAAACAGACGTCCCTTTTAGCTCTTGCAAGAGAACTTGCTGTTAGCACCGTCCCCTGTCCTTTTGAATTTAAGTACTGTTCTCTTGTCGTTTTTTCTGGTCTGAGAATATTGAAAATTTTCCAGCCTAAATAAAGTCCTAACTCTATACTCCTAATTGTGAATTGCCCAAGCCAGAAACAACCCCTCCAGTTAAACTCGATCATTCACTCTGGCTGTTTTTGTGGGGTGCGATTGATGTGTGCAAATTGGCTGCCGTGTTTGCTTACGAAATATTCAGTTAGTCCACTTCACAGCAAAATCTTGCGAATGCTTTTAAGGGGTTTCAGGCACAGCGGTGAGGATTGGGGGTGGGGTGGCGGGAGAAGAAAGTGGCTGGAGGTGCAGCCGAAGAGATGACAGTGATAATAATAAATCCTTACATTTGATCCACGCTTTTCATGGCAGGAGAATCAACGTCTCAAAGCGCTTGCTTCACTGTAAAGTGCAATGACTGCATTTCGTGGGTGAACTTGTGACTTTAGACAGGTTTCGAACGTGGAAGGCGTGTGGGGAGGCTGTGGTGGGGGAGATTTTGGAAGAGAGCTCCAGCCAGCGGAGCAAAATGGTAGATGCACGAGTAATAATAACAATAATAATCCTCGCATTCGATATAGCGCCTTATTGCGTCTTCGAGGCGTCTCAAAGTAACACCCCTTTTGAACATAAGAAATTTCTGATGAAACCAACGTTAAAAGAAAAATTACCTCCAGGTGCATGCGTTCCCCGGGGTCTAATTAATAAATGTAGACAGACAAAGATTCCCTGCCTGGACTTGTTTGCCATGTTAATGAGGCCACTAGCAGGGAGCCCAGCCCGTCAGCCTGGCTTGTCAGTCCGCAGCCACCTGTCCCATCTTTTGTCTGCCAGCGAGTGTGTCTGGGCTTCCCCGCACTTTGCGCAAATCACAACCAGCAATCAGCAGAAGCTTGCAGTGACTGTAGCCGCCTTAAGCCGCGAATCTCTGAGAACCACACCTTGTAAGTCGCATAAATGCAACTGAAAGTAACTCAATAATAATAATAATCATCTTGCATTTGATACGGAGCCTTCTCATGTCTTCAAGACATTTCAAAGTACTTCACTGAATATACTGCTAAGTGGATTGACTGTATTTTGTGGGCGAAAAGCAGCAGACAGTTGCGCACAGCAGTATCGCCAAACAGTCGTGGATTGAGTGACTAAATTATCATTATTATTATTTTCAATGATCCCCATCCCTAGCTCATGCAGGCTAAAGCCCCGTAGCGATGCTCATAGCAGGGCTTGAGTTGCAAATAGTGTAAATATGCTGTGCATAGGTTTACCTGGGCAGTGATAAGGAATTAAAGCAGAAAGCAGCAGTGTATTTAAGAGGAAGCGTGACTCAAGCAAGAGTGAGAAGGGAATAGAAAGCGTGCAGGAGAGGGGCACCGGAGGGAAAGTGGGTTTGAGTGGAATATAACCATGGATTAGTTGGGCCGAATGACCCGTTTCCTTACTGTAAATTTCTGTGTAATTCTATGCAACACTATCCCAGTATGTCTTCGCTGGGGGAGTGAAAATAAAGAGTGGAGCACCGTGTGCAGTGCATTTGCCAAGTGCAAACCGTTGCCAACACGGCAAATTTACACTGAACAGGTTTGACCTTTTCCAAGTTAAACACAAGAGAAGCATTTTTGAGGAAACGCATGTGAAAAAAAATGGCCTGAAGTTAGTTGGCTAAACTACAGTATTTTCAGGCTGTTTTTTTTTCTATTAAGCTCACGGGAATCAGCAAGTGAGGGCAGCCTGGCCTGCAAAAAGGTGCTGTTCATACTGGAGCCTTTGTTTCTCTTCACCGTGACTCGCACTTTGAGGCCCGCTTAGGCTTATATTTTATTTATACGGCCCTAGGCCCAGGCAGGTGGCTTCATTAACCAGAATCTGAGGTCATCCAAAACCCAACTGCTACCATCTCTCCACAACTGATTCCACCCCTGCGTCTACCTGAGATGCTCTGGGACGCTAGCTACCCTGTGTGAGGGGCTCTATATAAGTTCAAGTTGTTGTTGTTGCGTTGTACCCTTCTGGTGCGGGCTACGCAGATGCATAAGGGCCTCCCACCCACCTGGCAACCGCTGGAAACACTTGGGGTATTGGTTATATAGAACGATACGGCATGGAAGCAGCCCATTTGGCCCAATTTACCCGTGCCAGTGTTCATACTCCACATTCCCGTCACTTATATGTGTGTACACACACACCCTTCGGCTCCCTTTTCCCTCGTGCATGCATCAAGATTTCTCTTAAAGAGGTTGATGCTGTTTGCTTCAACTGCTGATCTCCAGTTTCAGCAGACCCATATGCAGCCAGGTTGTGCAATGCCATCTGATGATCTGGAAGCACTGACCTGACCTGTTATAACTTTGGAGGAGTGGGGGTGGGAATCCATTTGCTTCCATATCCTTCCTGCCCAAGGTCACCTCTTCCGCCGGCTCTGGTTGACAAAATTAGAAGTAGGTCGTGCATCCTGCCAAATGAGTTGAAATTTCAGGTTTGCTCCTGTTTAAACCACTAAACTTAATGCATGTTAGGAGCCAGGAAAGTGGTGCAGTGAATTGGTACTCTGACTTGAATCATTCACTCACTCACTCGGATTTGACGTTTACAATGGGATAGTGCACTCAGGCTCTGATCACGTCAATATGACTGACTGGGCAGGTCCACAAAGGCAAATGCTGTTTGACGTAGCTGTAGAAAATAGCAACTCTGGAAGAACGTTTAGCCTTTGACGAGTAAATGGCGAGTTTATAATACTTTGGGATACAGTCAAAGATGAGACAGCAGTTTCTGAATAACCAGTCTGCTTAACGTGTCTGTGTTTCACTTCACTGCGCATTACACAAGATAGTAAAATAAAAGGAAGCTACTTAGAAACTCTCCATTCACAGAACCACAAGAGAGGTTCAGATGAACCAGGCTCTTTGGTCCATCATCCTTCCAGGATGCTCGCCCAACCATCCTTCCATCATGGTACCAAACTGTTTCTTAAGTAATTCCAGTAATCTGACCTCAACCACCCTTCCTGGCAGCCCTAATCTAGTCTTAATTGCCCTCTAGGAAAATATATACGTTGGGATGTCCTCCCGATGCGAAAGGCGTGCTTCAAATGTCAGGATTCTTAGTATTGTTTGGTATAATTCTACATCTCTTGACGTCGCACACCCCTTTCCTTTATCAGGGGCTGCTGTGTATTGTGTGGTCAGCTCGCTGCTGCTCAGGAGTGAAAGGAGGGGAATATTAATCTGTATAATTTACATAGAGTAACAGATGGCCAAGGATGAATGACTGATGGATTTAGAGATTCTTATTTGTGTCAGATTTGTGTGTGCATGAACGGCTGAGCCACTCATGCATAGACTGACTCAAAGTCAAACCAGGTCCGCGCGCAGATCGGTAATTTACCCCCAACCGACGTCCCGTCTGTGCCTGTTCAGGTGGACGTTGCAAATCGCGTGGCACAACCTGAAAAGAGACAGAAGTTTCTCCCAACAATCTGGACGACAATCCCCCCCCCCCCCCCCACCCACCCATCTGAAAGTTGATTGTTCACTTCACGGCTGTTTGTGGGACATCGCTGTGCGTGTATTGGTTGCTGCGTTCCCCTACAAAAATACAGTCACTCACTACTACATTGGAATACACGGAGCATTGCAGTACGGAACCAGGCCAGTTGGCCTGTGGAACAGGCTCTCCAGGGAGACAGTTGAAGCAGGAATTGTTGATTTCTTCAAACCCAGATTAGGTAGTTTTCTTTTAGGAAATAACACTATGGGATACAGTACCTAGGTAGTTCAAGACGTATGTTCAAGACGTATGGAAGGTGGAAGTTAGTCTTTTTTTCGTCTAACATTTCTTATGCTCTTATGTCTGAATTTGAATTTCGCCCACAAAATACACAGTCATTCACAAAATCCTGTGAAGTGCTTTGAGACGTCTCGATGACATGAAACGGCGCGGAATCGAAGGCAAGGCTTACTTTAATTATTCCAAGTGAGGCTGGATTGTTTTGAGAGCCATTGTTCATAATCTATTTTTCTTTTATAAGGAAAAAACAAAAGATCTGTAGCGTAGCTTTACAAAATGCCTGCGACCCACAGCACATGCGAGCACAAAAGCAAGGCTGTTGCTTGTCCCATTTCACTCCATTCAAATGCCAGGCACCCGCTTGCTTAACCCTTTGTTTTCTATTTCTTTCTCCTCCCCTCCAGAGAGGCGGTGAGTGGAAAATTCAAAACTGCCGCAGGAACTTTGCTTTCAATTGTAAGATTAATTGAATTATTATTAATAATGATTAATAATCATTGCATTTGATAAAGTGTCTTTCGCATCCGGAGGACATCTCAAAACGCTTCACAAGATTTTACTGTAAAGTGTAGTGACCGTGTAATTGGCTCAAGGTAGTGTCCCACAAACAAACACATGAAGTAAATCACCAATTTTTCATCAGAGGGGTATTGTTGGTCAGGGCATCTGGAAAAACTTTCTTCTCTTTTCGGATAGCGCCACAGGACCTTTCACGTCCACCTGAACTGACATTGGTGGCACCCTGGTTTAACTTCTCATCCAACAATGTAGTGCCTTCCCCCAGCACCGCACTAGAGTGTCAGCCTAGACTGAGTTCGAAGTCCCCAATGTTGGGACAACCTTACTAGGACCTGGGTTCGACTCCCGGCCAGGGCAAGATGGTGGGGAAGTTTCCTTACTCCACACGCCTCTGTTTACCTACCAGTGAGTAGGAACTCGGTTGTTCATCGATTGGGGTATTGGTTTTCCGGGGGTAATAAATCCTTCAAAATAAATAAAAAAATAATTTGGTCACTCGATCCACGACTGTTTGTGGGACGCTGCTGTGCGCAGTTGGCTGCCGCGTTTTGCCCACAAAATGTACAGTCAATTCACTTTACAGTATATTCTGTGAAGCGCTTTGAGACGTCTCGAAGACGTGATAAGGCGCAATATCAAATGCAAGGACTATTATAACCGCTGTGAGAAATAAAAGGTATTGTTTGTGTTTTTTTTGGGGAAAAACAAGGTCGGCTCAGCTTGGGATCCCAGGAGTCGCATAACGCTCCCCAGGAGGTGACGTTCCCTTCAGAACACGAGGCTCGGAAAGTTGTGTGCGGGATTGACTGCTCGCTGATTCTCACCTGCGGGAATCACCTCATAGCCTGCGGCAGCAATAGGTAACGGAATCGGCGGACTTGACTTCCCAAAATGTTTGACTGTTTTCCCCCAGTTCGTGCTGACTTAACCAGCTTTTGAAAAGCTTAGGAGATATTTAAGGTGTATGTAGCTACTAACCATACAGTTTTCTTTTTCTTTTCCTCTCTCTTTTCCCCACCCTCCCCCTTTCACCATGGCCGTTCTGCACCAGACCTACCCGAGAGGGTGAGCTAGAAATCTGCAACCATTGAGTTCTCTCCCGCACCCCACCCCCACCCTCACTCGAACCAAGGGGAGAGGGAGGGAAGGAGGTGGGAGGGACAGTGGATATGACCGTAAGCACGATCAAGAAGGAAGGTCTTTAGGAGGGATTTGAAGGTGGGGAGGAGAGTTAGAGATCGAGTGTGGTACCTTCTTGATCTCAATAGCATGTGGAAGATGCTTGGATCTTAAATCTTCAGGATCACATAAATATCTTTTGATTAAGACTTAAGTCGCGCATTCGCTTGTCAGGTTCAACAAACTGGGCCTGGACGAGGTAACTGGTGGTCAAGACCTTCTCCCCGTCAGTCAAGTGGAAGAGGTTCATGCTTTTACTCCTGTCCATTCGTACCCGCTCAACGAAGGGCATATTGTCCACGTGGATGTGGGGACGGCCCACTCCGCAGCGATCACAGGTCAGAGGCGTTGCTTAGACACAGTTTCAACCCTATCTGTTCCAAGTGCAATACAATTTCGAACTCCCAAGGATTATTACTTGCAGTAAAACCTCGTCGTTGCTTCACATCTGCCTTGCCGACCAGCAATGCAAAGTGCATTCTCGTCCTCCCGGCGCGAAAGACATCGTATAAATTGCTCGCAAACCACCGCTCGGCTTGATGTCCAAGGGGGCAAAAAGAAAACGACTGTTTACTTCTGTTGCAGAGAATGGTGAATGTTACACCTTTGGCAGTAACCAACATGGGCAGCTGGGCACCAGCACACGGCAGAATAACCGTGCCCCTTACCTGGTCTCCGACCTGCACGGGGTGAAGGTCACCATGGTAGCTTGTGGCGATGCTTTCACGGTGACGATCGGAGCAGGTACGTGGTTAAACTGCGCCTCCAAAATGCTCACCCACTCTTCAGATCTGCATGGTAATAATCCCACGACACTATTCGAATAGATAAGGGAGTTTCTCCCAGTTTTGTAGCCCCCAACAACCCCCACAGCCCCCCCCCCGCCCCACCACCAACCCCAAATAAAATTGGTAACTCGCTTCAAGGCTGTTTGTGGGGCATTGCTACGTGCAAATTGGCAGCCCTGTGCCTAGTCTGTGGAACTCCCTGCCTCAATCTCTCTACCTGCCCCACCCTCACCGCCCTCTTTATCTTTCAATCCAAACTGCAGACCTACCTCTTTGGCAACACCTCTGGTCACAATCTCCCCCGATCCCGGCTTCGTAACTGATGTCTTAAAAACTCTACTGCGTTGGCCTCAAAGGTTTTCCGTTCTTTTATTTTAACAGAGGGTGAAGTTTACACGTGGGGGAAGGGGGCCAGAGGAAGACTGGGAAGGAAAGAGGAAGGTCCTGGGATATCTAAACAAGTCCAGCTGGATGAAAACAACCCCTACGTTGTCACCTCCGTTGCATGTTGTCATGGAAATACCCTGTTGGCAATCAAACGTAAGACATCTATCTTGTGCGATGATTGTTTTTTTTTTTGCAAGATGCCTCGGTGGGTTGGCACGTGACAACCAAATGCGTTTGATTTGTACGTTAACTATTTGGGGTTAAAAATTAGTTACGCTGGGAAATCCCATTGTTGGTCAACGACATTAAGCTCTCTGGGACGCTATCCTGCGAGAAGGCCACTATACAAATGCAAGTTGTTGTTATCGACATCGCCAAAGGCAATGCCTCGCCAGATTTTTTTTCTTCACCCATTTATTTGGGAAAAGATGGGGATTCTTGATACAGGAGCAACACCACAACTTTAGCCTTATGCTGAAAAAACGCTTTGTCTTCAGGTGTAAGATTGTGGAGAAATGTACACCTGCAAAATGCAGTCACTACATGCCTCAGTGTATCCTGTAAAGCGCTTTGAGACGTCCTCCCCAAACTGTAGGCACTGTAACAGATGCGAGTATTGCAAAGATTTTCAAAGAATGTAGAGAGAGAGAAACAACCGGTCCGTGCCAGCGTTTAGACTCCACGTGAATCAAAACTTGCCTTCCCTGATTATTATTAATAGAGAATTCTTAAAATCTTGGGAATCTGAATCTTAACTTGGAGTCTGTTTATCTACAATTCTGCACTGTGTTGCAGGCTAAGACTGGGTTGAATTTCAGACCATAAGTGTCCAATTAGCAGCATACCGTACATTGGTTAATGTTCACCATTACTTTATTCTCACGATATACGCACAGTTCAGGGACCCACAACTTTTAATGCAACTGCAAACAGTTGTTATTAATCAACCAGTGGCTGCCAGCCGAGCAGAGTTTAGGACAAATTCATATAAGTATTGTTAAGTCGAATTGGGCTCAAAAATAAGCTCTTCGTCAAAATAATAATAACACTTGCATTTGAACACGGAGCCTTTCAAGTCAAGAGGACATCTCAAAGTGTATCACAAGAATCACAGTCAAGTCAATGGGAAACAATCAGAAAATGTGATGTAACACTACGCTGTTTTGAATGTTCCCTAAAGCTCACTCTTTATACGACCTTACTTCATTCTAGCCCTGGGAGATGAATCCAGCCCAAGGTGACTTGGAAGAATTCTGCTGTTTCGGAAAAAGAAACCTGCCAATATCTGGGCAAAGCCGAGAGAGAAGGTGACCGAGTTCAAGGGACTAACATATCAGCTTTGTGTCAATTTGACGACGCACTTGGATTAAAAAGTGCTGAATAGCTGGTATTAACAAGACCAGGCAAGGAGCAGTCAAGGATTCCCATCATTTCTTTTTTTTAATACAACACTCCCATATTTTAACGGTGCATAACTTTCAACCGATGTTGAGTACATGTTGTCTAGTGGGTCTTGATGAGATGGTTAGATCCTCGATAATGTCTTCGGCTGGCAGGGGTCTTGAGTTGTATCATTGATGCATCGGAGTATTAGCGAACCTGGGACTGCAAAAGCAGGTCATGTTTGGCTCTCAGTACTGTGCGAGTAAGATGGAGAAATAACTACAGCCACATCTGGGTTAACAGTGTCAGGCATTCAGCTCAGCAAGCAGCCTGTGACATGTAATATGGGAGCGGAGGAAGTAACTGCAAATTACATCTTGCGCAGACATTTATAATGTTCCACGGTTTTATTATGACATTTTCTGGGACTTTTTCCAAAGCCGTCTCACTTTTGTTTTTTGGGGGCTGCTAATTTGGGCTGAAAATTCTGATACTTTTCACAGCTGCCGCGAACGAACGGAAAGATAGTGAAATATTGTACGGCCTCTGTGGCTAACAGCCTGCCCTGCCCTGCCCTCAGCCCCACAACCCCCACCGTTCTGTGTAAACTCGTCTCGGTTTTTAATGGGACGCTTTCTGTTGGGAGTTTAATGCATTCACGTTTAGTTGAGGGGAAAGGTACCTCAGTGCCTCCTTGTTTAAACCCCTACTATCAGCCATTCTGTCTTTGCTCACTGAGGCTTCATCCCAGAGTCCCTGTGCCTTGTTCCTTACATCGCTTCAAAAACCTGCCTCGACTCCTGTCTGCTGCAATTTTTCTCTTCCAACCCCCATCCCCCAGATAAAATTGGTCGTTTACTTCATGGCTGTTTGTGGGAGATTGCTCCGTGCAAATTGTCTGCTATGTTACAAATATACAAGACGTTTTGACAGGGTGATAAGGCGCTGTATCAAATGCAATGATTATTATTATTAATAAACCAAACAAATTGACTCTTTAGCGAAGAAATGCAGGTACCGGAGGGGAGGGTGAAGAAGATTAGTCTTTTAGCTGATATATAGGGGTGCTTGGATCTGTCGGATTTGAACCCATTTTGTTATCCTTGTTCCCGAGCCCTAGGACAGTAATATATCTCTTTTGTATTGTCACCGAGGTAATAGCTTTCTGGTTTTATCACCTGAGCAAGTTGTGGGCATGTGTGGCGCTGTTCCACTCAGGGAGTGCGCTGTGTGCTTGAATGCACTGATATCAAAGTGCAGGAATCGATGTGACGCTTCAGATAATGCATCGATTTGTCTTGGGCGATCTGTGCGTAACTCGCGAGACCGCGCGCATTCCCCGTGCAATAAATTGACAACGCAAAAGCGGCTCATATTAACCCCCCCGACACAGTTACTGTACGCCATAGGCCCCCGCATTTCGCCCACAAAATACGGGGTCAATCAATCTACTTTGCAGTCTATCCCGTGAAGCGCCTTGAGAGGTCTCAATCACGCGATAAGGCGCTGCATCAAATGCAAGGATTATTAGATAGCATTATAATTGCCGCATTAACTGTACGTAGGATCGTAGGCATATGCCAGGCCAGGGTTGTGGAGCGCTTTTAAGATGTCCCCCTGACGTGAAAAGCCGCTGAATAAATCGTATAGGAAATTCTGTGTATGATGCAAGCCCGCAGAAGTGAAAAAAAAGTATGGTTCCTCATTTCTCCCCCTTCATTCCCCCCACCCTCCCCCCAAAAAAACCTGTTAAGTAATCATATATCACAATGTAAATGTTTCATAAATCATTTACACAATACAACATGCAGGCGAGTGAGAGCAGTGAGGGGAAATGGGGGTGGGGAAGATAATAACATGCAGGATATGGAGCCCTGACCAAGCTATCAATCTTTTAGCATGCTGCGGTTTTCCCTGGGTTGGCCTCAAAGCTGTAGATGTATGTTTCAATTTGGTTTATCAGTGGAACCGTCACAAAGCAGTTCTGGACTGATAGCTCAAGGACTGTTTCCATGCGCTTGGTGTCTTGGGATCAGTCTTTTCCTGCAGCAGACCTGGAAGCCAGTCCTCCACGCAGTTCGTTGAATTTCCTTGTGCAATGAATCCGCTTCTACCAACGAATAAACGTGCAACGAGACAAGATTTGTCGAGCGGTTGTGGTGGTTTTGTTGCTATTATTAACTTGCATTTGATATAGCGCCTTATAGCGTCTTCGAGACGTCTCAAAAGCGCTTCACGGAATATACTGTAAAGTGAATTTACTGTATTTTTTGGGGAGCGAAACACAGCCGCCAATTGCACACAGCAGTGTCCCACAAACAGTCGCGGATTGAATGACCGGTTTATTTTTTTTGAACGAATTATTACCCCTGGAAAAGCGATCCGCCAATCAACTAACAACCAGGTTAGTCAATCGACTAACAACCTACTGAATGCTAAGTAAACAGAGGCGTGTCGAGTTAGGAAAATTCTCCAACATTTCGCCCTGCCGGGGAATCAAACCCAGGTCTCTACCGTTTGCGAGGCGAATGCTCTTAACCACTGAGCTACAGGACTCCACGATGTTGCAGATGCCTTAGCCACTACCTTCTAGGAATAGAAGTGAAATCGTCTCTCACCGAGACTAGATGTGACCAAGAGCATATCCTTTACCTTCGGGGATTCCACCTCGTTCCACCCGGCCTGGTGTTCACTTCTTCTGACGTTACGCTCCCAATTTTATCAGCTTCTTCAGAGATTGGCTTGCCAGCGGTGTCTATTCCTCTGAGGTTATTTACAGAGTGGGCTGAATTCAATAGCTTTGGTTTGTGTTGTGGCTGTGGTCGGTGGCCAGCCCCCAGCGATGAGAGCGGGCGACTGTACCACTTTTGCGTGTGCGTTTTACGTCACTCAGAAATAGCCTTACTCTGAAAATGCAGCCTGACCTCTTTTACAATTAAAATTGCCTCTTGCATTCCAGGATCAGTCAACAGTGTAATGCTTGTCTTAAGCATTCTGTGGTTTCTTGTCATAATTTATTGAACTATTTAAGCTGTGTCAGCCTGACTCTCGCCTCTTGAGTCAGAACGTTCTGGGTTCAAGCCCCATATGGGGACTTTGAGCTCATGGTTTAGTCTGACAACAACAACAACAACGCATTACATTTACACAGCGCCTTTCGCGTCAGGAGGACGTCCCAAGGCGCTGCACAGTCAGGGATCCGCAGCTGAGCTGGCGGGTGGGGAGGGTAGGGGAAGGAGGGTGATCAAAGGCACGGTCGAAGTGGAGGGTCTTGAGATGGGTCTTGGAGGAGGCGAAGGAGGGGCTGAGTGTGTATCACTTGGGGGAAGCACAGCATTGTCGGAGGTGCTGTCGTGCGGTCGAAACTTGAGATGCCAAACCGAGATCCCATCTGCCGGTCTGCCAATGAATACAGTCACTAAACTTGACACCGTATCCTGTGAAGTGCTTTAAGATGTTCTCCTGACGTCAAAGGTGCTGAAACAAATGTAAGGATTATTATTGTTATTATTATTATTAAAAGCAAATCCCAAAGAAGTCTACTTATTTATACTTTCCTGATACTTCTGCTTTTGCAGTGCCAGCATTATTAAGTCTCAAGGGTTGAAGGGGAAAGTTCTTTATTGCAGTGCTCTGGAGTACACCGATTTCCTGTAAATATTATAGTTCTTTAATTGGTTTTCTTTTGAGTTTTGTTTTAATGCAAAAATTCATTATTGTTGAATTTGAATCATTGCATCTTACGTTCTGCAATCGCTCCCCTGGAAATTCATTTCGTTGTGGATGGAACAAGACTGGGGAACTCATTAAACGGTGTCCCAAAATGAATACTTCACTATTGAAAGTGTTCAAACTCGTATTTTCTTAATGTACAGAATGTGACGCTTAATTAAATTACATTGTGAGACGTCGTACATAATTTCACCATCTGGTACTGTGCATGTGGTTGTTGTTTTTGCATGGCTCGTTCAATTACACATTTTTTTATTGAAAGCAAAATACAAAATACTGCTGAGCGAAACTAAGCCAGGACAGAACGGGGTTTGAACCTACGTCCTACAGGTCTTACGAGGCAATATTGTGCCTCTAACCACTGAGCCAACAAAATAATTGGTCAAAATATAGGAGATTTTAACCTACTCGATGTCATAATTGCTACAGATGTGCGCTGATTTCTAACTTCTAACGTCTCAACTGGGCAGTTTCAAAATGATGGGACTTTTTAAGAAGTTGTTGAGTTTGGATTTAAACTCCTTAAGAAAGCCTGACACTTAACATGGTCAGGAGGGAGTCGTTTAACAAAAAAGCTCGACCCTGGGAAAGGAGGACAGGTCGTCTGGAAAGATGAGATCAGATGGGACCAAAGGACCTTCTTCATTCAAGCCAATGAAAATAATAATCCTTGGTGATAGAGCACCTTACATCATTGAAATGTCTCAAAGCCTCTGACTGTGGTATTTGTGGGTAAACACGGCGGTCAATTTGCAAACAGCGATGTATGACGAGATAGTCGTGGAATGAGTGACCAATTTTATTTGGTGGGTAGTCCAACCAGGACTCGGGGATGAGCTCCCTTTTGCTCACGAGTAACGAAACCAAACTACAAAGAGTGCAGTAGCAATTTATCTTTGTCTGGAATGCCCACTCCTTGCCTCCCTGGAGGGACACATCCTGCTCATCTAATCCCGGAGCATATTAGGCATAGGTTGGCAAGTGCCAATCGTTGAGGATTCCCCAGAGTGTACATTTCAAGACAGCCTGTAGAGGAGATGGTATGTACTGTTATTTGTAGACAGAAGTTAACGTTGATGTCACTCCTTATTTGGAAAGTTTTTCTTGCGAACCATTTTATTGCTTTCTTTGCTGAGCTGACAGTTCACTCTATTGGAAGCTGGATGACAGAACCTTCTCGACTGAACTTCAGCGGCTGATGTTTGACAAAGTAGTGTCCTACACATTACTTCCAACGTGCTGCTCAGCCTGAAACTAAATTAGTCTGTCCTTTAAACGCCGCAAAATTCGACCCGGGTCTAGATTAATAATAAACTTTACAATTGATACAACGCCTCATCATGTCATCGGAGCATCTCAAATTGCTTCACGACATCTTACCGTATAGTGCAGTCACTGTGTATTTTACGGGCAATTTGCCCACAGAAGTGTCCCAAAGAAGTGAATGACTGAACCAGTTTAATCTCTGAGGGCGTGGTAGCCAAGGACATGGGTGGAAACTGCCTTCTCTATTCGAGCAATGCCTCGGAAACTTTTAACGTTCACCTGAACAGGCGGACAGGACCTCAATGTTAACATTTCATCCAAAGGACACCACCTCTGACAAAACTGCTGCGCGCAATTGGCTGCGGCGTTTCGCCCACAAAATATACGGTCAATTTGCTTTCCAGTACATTCTGTGAGCCGCTTTGAGATGTCTTGAAGACGTGATAAGGCGCTACATCAAATCCAAGGATTATAATAAAAAATACAGCACTTCCCAATGCCCCCAGCACTGCATGTCAATCTATGCACTCCCCCAAACCCCTTGCTTTGAATGTTTTGAATCAATGAGATATTTCCTCGGTTCAATGCTTTATTTTGCCTCCTGCAGAGAGCAAATGCTTCTGGCTATCGAGGAGCCTGGAAGCAAGTGGCATTAATTTGGGATTTATTGCCTGGAGTTACATTGGAGGCTGATGCTTCATAACTGGCTTTGATGATGATAATACTTGCATTCGATATAACCCCTTATCCCGCCTTTGAGGTGTCTCAAAGCGCTTCACAGAACATACTGTAAAGTGAATTGACTGTATATTTCGTGGGCGAAACGCGGCGGCCAATTGCGCACAGCAGTGAAACAGAGCGGCCAAATGATGCCTGTTTAGGAACATGGGACAAGGCAAGTACCAGCTGAGCACAGTGGCAGACTGTTTCCCTCTTCTTTAAAACGTATAAACTTTATTTTGAGCCGGGGAGAACTTGGCGTGCTGTGTGAGCTCAATGAGGCAGTTGTTCCCGACGAGAAGTGGAACAAGGGGTATTTAAAACAGATGTTAAGCAAACAGACGTACTCTTGATAGCGGAACGCATTTCCAGAGGGCCAGCTCACCGTGTAATTGAATGGAACGAGCTAGTGGTACAATTAACTTCCCAGGAGCTGAGGGGTAATTTTTTTTCAGCGTTGGGGCTTTGAGCAATGGTGCAATGTGTCTTGCCTCACCATGGCAATAGGTGTCTCCTGTCACAGGGCTTAAGGGGAATTGAGATCTCGTGTGGGAAAAGCAGCAGGGCCTCCCAGGAAGCCTTCAGGGCTTTGCTCTCTGAAGACAGACTTAACACTGTGTCCCACCGAAGGCTTGAAGGAAGCCAGGTTTAACCCATGCTGCAATGGTTCTTTTTATTCCAAGCTGTTCTAATGGAGGTCTCTCCATATCACCATCGGCGAGCGGGCCTGGCCTTCA